TTGCTGCACCTTCGACTAGATTGACCAAGAAGGGTGCCCCATTCAGGTGGTTTGATGAGTGTGAGGAGAGCTTTCAGAAGCTCAAGACTTCCTTGACCATAACTCTAGTTCTAGTTTTATTTTTATTATCGGATTCATATATAATGTATTGTGATGCTTCTCAGATTGGTATTGGATGTGTCTTTATGCTTGAGGGTAGGGTGATTGCTTATGCATCACGCCAATTGAATCCCCATGAGAAAAACTACCCCGTTCATGATTTAGAGTGGGCAACCATTTTTCATACATTGAAGATTTGTAGGCATTACCTTTACGGTGTATCTTGCGAGGTATTTACAGATCATCGGATTCTACACCACTTATTTAAGCTGAAGGATCTAAATTTGAGACATCAGAGATGGTTAGAGCTGTTAAAAGACTATGATATCACCATTTTGTATCATCCGAGGAAGGCCAATATGGTGGCCGATGCCTTGAGTAGAAAGACGGTGAGTATGGGTAGCCTTGAATATATTCTAGTTGGTAAGAGACCGCTAGCATCAGATTTTCGAGCCTTGGCCAATCAGTTTGTGAGATTAGATATTTTGGAGTTTAGTCGGGTTATAGCTTGCGTGGTTTCTTGGTCTTTCTTATATGAGTGCATTATAGAGCGTTAGTATGATAACCCCCATTTGCTTGACCTTAAGGACACGGTACAACACGATGATGCCAAGGAGTTTTCTATAGGAGATGATGGGGTGTTACGAATGTAGGGTCAGATTTGTGTTCCCAGTGTGGATTGGTTATATAAGTTGATTCGTGAGGAGGCCCACAGTACACGGTATTCCATTCATCCTAGTGCCGCGAAGAGGTATCAGGCAACTTTAATGGTAGAGAGAAATGAAGAAAGATATAGTGAAGTATGTGGTTCGATGCTTGAATTGTCAGCAGGTGAAGTACGAGCATCAAAGCCTGAGCGGTTTAATTCAGAGACTTGAGATTCCTGAGTGGAAATGAGAGCGTGTTACCATGTACTTCGTCATCGGGCTCCCACAGACTTTGAAGAAATTCGATGCTATTTGGGTGATTATGGACCGATTGACTAAGTCTGCGCACTTCATACCGGTGGTGAATACCTACTCTTCGGAGAGGTTGGTTGAGATCGGTATCCGCGAGATTATCATCTTTATGGTATGTCGGTATCCATCATTTCAGATCGAGGTACGTAGTTCATATTGCAATTTTAGAGAGAAGTGCAGCGAGAGTTGGGCACACGGGTTGAGTTGAGTACATCATTCCACCCCCAGACGGACGGACAATCCAAGAGCCCCATTAAGATTTTGGAGGATATGCTACGCACTTATGTTATGGATTTCGGGGGTCCTTGGGATTAGTTTCTACCGCTTGCAAAGTTTGCCTGCAACAACAACTACTAATCGAGTATTCATATGGCCCCTTATGAGGCCTTATATGGGAGGTAGTGTCGTTCTCCTATTGGGTGGTATGAGTTGGGAGAGGCAAGGTTGTTGGGTATTAATTTGGTTCAGGATGCCTTAGAGAAAGTCAAGTTGATTCATGATTGGCTTCGCACAGCATAGTCTAGACAGAAGAGTTACGCTGATCGGAAAATTTGTAATGTTTCCTATATGGTGGGAGAGAAGGTATTGCTTAGAGTTTCACCCATGAAGGATGTTATGAGGTTCGGAAAGAAGGGTAAGTTGAGCCCCCGATATATTGGCCGTTTTGAGGTGCTTGAGAGGATTGGAGAGGTGGCCTTCAAGCTTGTATTGCCACCTAGTCTATCGGCCGTTCACCAAGTGTTTTATATTTTCATGCTCTAAAAGTATTATGGTGATCTGTCTCATGTTTTCGATATCAGCACGGTTTAGTTAGATGGGGTTTTAACTTATGATGTGGAGCCGGTGGCCATTTTGGATGTACAGGTTCAAAAGTTGAGATCAAAGAATATAACTTCAGTGAAAGTTCGATTGAGGGGCCAACCAGTCGAGGAGGCTATTTACGAGACTGAGCAAGAGATGCAGAGTAGATATCTACGCCTATTTGAGACTCTGAGTATGATTCTAGACCTGTTCGAGGATGCACATTTGTTTAAGAGGGGAAGAATGTAATGACTCGACCGGTCATTTTGAGTATTGTAGTCTCGTTCCCCTATTTATTGCTTATTCTATGTTCATTTTGCTTATGTGACTTTTCGGGGCAATTGATTTTGTTTCGGGGATGTTTTGAAATGAATGAGGACACTTAGTCCTAAGGTTGGAAGCTTCAATTGAAAGAGTTGACCAGATGTTGACTTATGTGTAAATGATTCCAGAATGGAGTTTGATGGTTCTGATTGCTTCGTATGGTCATTTTGAACTTAGGAGTGTGTCCGGATATCGATTTTTAGGTCTGTAGGTCCTTTTATCTTGAATTGGTGAAAGTTGGAAAGTTGAAGGTTTGGAAGATTGAGAAGTATGACAAAGAGTTGACTTTGTTGATACCGGGCCCGAATTTTGGTTTCGGAAGTTGGAGTAGGTCTGTTGTGCCATTTATGACTTGTGTGCAAATTTGAGGTCAATCGGAGTGGGTTTGATAGGTTTCGACATCGAGTTTAAAAGTTGGAAATCCATTAGTTTCAATAGGCTTGAATTGGGGTGCGTGATTTGAGGTCTCGACTAAGCTCGTATTATGTTTTAGGATGTGTTAGTATGTTTGGATGGGGTTCTGGGGGCCCTGGTTGTGATTCAAATTGAAATCAAATTGAACTTTGGACTTAAGGAATTTCTGTTATGCTTCAGTTCTGGTGCAACCGCACCTGCGAGGAATTGGCCGCAGGTGCGGAGTCGCAGAAGCGGCCAGGAAGGCGCAAGTGTGGGATTTGTCTAGGCTAGGCAGTGGTCACAGGTGCGAGGTTGTTTCCGTAGCTGTGAGCCTGTAGGTGCACCACATATGCAAAATTTGGTCAGAGGAAGCTGAGGTCGCAAAAGTAGAGTATATTTGCAGCTGCGCTCCCGTAGGTGTGGGACTTGGACGACAGAAACGAACCCGCAGAAGTGGGAAAAGGGCCGCAGAAGCGGCTGGTCGGTAATATTCGGCTTAAAGTATGTATATAGCCTCGCATTTTAATCATGTTTCGTAATTTCGGATATGTAATATAATAATTTATGCTAATTCATGGTATTTTTATGTGTAGGAGTCATTTGGAGGTAATGTGGGACGAAGGTGAACAATTTGAAGCAAAAAGGGAACAAAGAGAAAAATTTGGACAGTATAGCGCCCACTCTTGCGTAAGGAGCTACCCATGGCCTAGTTTCCAGATGTGCCAAAATGCCTAGCGCTAGGGCTAGCGCCTCACACTACCCTGGGCGCAGGGTGACGAGAACTTGTCCTATTTCACTTGGGACATGGTTATTTTGACCCAAGACGCCTCCAACTCGTATAAAAGCAAGTCTAAACATATTTTGGAGGCGGAGACGCCACTTTGATAGGAAAACACAAGTACGGAACACTCGGGAGCACAAAATTCACGGATTCTTCCATCCTCATCTAGTATGCATAGCTTTTTTGTTTAAAAACGATATTTTGATTATTGTGATGAACATGAGTGGCTAAGAACCTCACTATTTTGGGGTTATGGGTCGTTATTGACTACTGTAATTTGACGATTGATTGTGTTGCTTGAGTTTATCATATTAATTTGTTTATTCAATCTTGCACTTAATTATTCTATTGTGTAACTAACAATAGAGTCCTATCTACGAATTTATAGTTGAACTAGAAAGTGGGAACTATAGATTGCATATAGGATTGAATAGAGTAAGTTCTTGAATCTGGGCATTGGAGAATAGATTTGCGATTAGGATAGACATATTCTAGTTGACTTAGTTATTTTTGCAGGAAATATACATGCGTTATTGTCAAGTTTGATTCTATAGACATACAGTCTTAGGCTGGCTTGAATATGCGAGCGGGGCATTGAAAGAACTTTGCAAGCATAATAAACTCTGATAATCAATAGATTAGATAAGTCAAGTGATTATATCAACCCGAAAAATGCAATAGGAGAGACGTTAATCCCATAACCCTGGAATATCCCCATCTCATTGAATTCTTTCTAAGTGTTTGTTTGCTCTACTTGCGATCTTATTTTCTTGATTGCTTATTATTTCGTAGTAATTTAGTTATAAAAATCACAATCATCTTCTTCACACTCACTTGAGGATTAAAGTTATAAATAACTTAGATTGGACAATAGTTGATCATAAATCCTCGTTGGAACGACACTTTTTTATCACTTTATTACTTGTCGACACCGTATACTTGCGTGTGTTTTTGCACCTAACAAGTTTTTGGCGTTGTTGCTGGGGATTTAGAAATTAGCTACTTGTCTGAAATAAGCTTTTATTTGTTTTTGTTCGAGATTTAATTTGTTTTGCCATTTCTTACTCTACAGGTATTCATATTGAATGCTAAGAAGACGTAACAGTTTGAACGATCTTCCCCTTTTGACCTGAACTTGAAAGACTTCTCCTCTGAAGGAGGGAGGCGGAAGCAAGAGCTAGAATTGTAGAGTTGGGCATTGTAGTCCAACCACAACCAACCGAAACAACAAAGAATGATGAGAGACTGGTGATTGAGGCCGCAAGGCCTAGTCTCGTGAACATGACTCAATCTATCGTGAAGTCTGACATAACTTGGCACTTTAAGCTGAAACAATACATGGTGCAACTGATCCAATACACAGGGCAATTTGTGGGTTTACTGAGTGATGATCCGCAAAGACACATACAGAATGTTTTGGAGATTGCGGATACATACAACTATCCGAACGTCCCCAAGGACTATATCAGACTGACATTGTTTCCTTTTTCTGTGTTGGGGGAAGCAAAGGAATACTAAACAAAGAGTTGGCAAACTCAATCCAAACATGGGATGATTTAGCACGAAAATTCCTTATCAAATATTTCCCACAAATAAAACAAAGTCACCGAGAAGCCAAATTATAGGGTTTCAACAAAAAGATGGCGAGACTCTACGTCAAGCCTGCGAGAGATGTAAAAAGCTACCCAGAGATTGCCCACATCACTGTTAGACTGATGAAGTCCTGGGTCATACTTTTGTTGATGGGTTAGACGAAGCATCCAAGATGAATCTTGATTCGAGATGTGGAGATAATTGCATGGCTAGGCTGTACACTGAAATCCAAATCCCGCTGAAGACGAGGAACCATAGAGAGCACTTAAACAGAAGGCAGTAGGTGTTATTGAGATTGATGGTTTCTCAACTATGACCAGATATAGCAATGTTAGACAATCAAGTAAATAAGATGACGATGCAACAAGTGCAACATGTGCAACAAATGTCTACATGTTGTGAGATATGCTGAGAAAACCACACGAGTAACCATTGTCCATTGAATCCTGAATCCATTTATTATGTTGGCAGCACAATAGGGGTCCGATGAACGAGAATACTCAGTATGGGAACACTTACAATTCAAACTAGAGAAATCATCCCAATTTCTCTTGGGGTGGTAATCATAATAGTAAAAGACCTAAAGGGAATTTCAATGTATAATAGACTCCACCACAACATGCAGAGGATACTACGAATGAGTTGTTAAAGAATCTCTTGCTTGATAATCAACAACTCTGTCTTGATAATCAGCAACTTCAGACAGAATTCAAAAATTTGGAAAGGCAAGTTGGGTAAGTCTCCTCCACTTAGAATGTTAGACCTAATGGGGCACTCCCAAGTGATACTCATAAGAATCCAATTGAACAAGTTCAAGCAATTAATCTAAGAAGTGAGAAAGCATTGGAGGAGGTGCCACCTAAAAAGTATGCGTCTAAAGAAGTTTTTGAAAGATTGGTACCTCAACCAAAGGTAGAAGTTGAAAAGAAAGATAATAAACATAGGCAGGGAATAAAGGTAAGGCCACCACTGCCTTTTCTTCAATGGTTGCAAAAGTCGAAAGATGAGTCCAAGTATAAAACGTTCTTATATATCTTGAGCCAGGTGCGGATGAATTTACCTTTGATAGAGGTGCTGCAAGAAGTTCCTAGATATGCCAAATACTTGAGAGATATTGTGGCCAACAAAAGAAGGTTGACAGAGTTTGAAACGGTTGCACTTACTAAGGAGTGCAGTGCTAGAGTACAAAGTAATATCCCGCTTAAGTTGAAAGATCTAGGTTGTTTTACAATTCCCTTGGTGATTGGAAAATATAAGGTTGGTAGAGCCTTGTGTGATCTGGGAGCGAGAATTTATTTGATGCCACTATCAGTATTCAAGCAGTTTGAATTGGGAACACCTAGGCCTACTACTATAACTCTACAGCTAATAGATCGGTCATTAGCAGTGCTTGAATGAATTATTGAAGATGTGCTGGTACGACTAGGGAAGTTCATCTTTCCCACATATTTCATTATTCTTGACTACATGGCTGATAAGGAGGTTCCAATTGTTTTTGGGTGACCATTCATGGCTACTGGAGGGGCATTTATTGATGTGAGGGAGGGTAAACTAAAAATGAGAGTGCATGATGAAGAAATCATATTTAATGTGTACAAGGCGCTTAATCTTCCTAAGCATTATGAGGATTTGTACATGATCTCTATGGTGGAGTGGAGCCTACTGGCATGAAAAAGAAAATCGAGTTAGAAGAACTGGTGTTGCGAGTTGAATGTGTAAAGGTAAAAGAGAAAAGGGTTAGAGAGGAAAGAGGAGATCCTCCTAGAGCACGCAAAAGGTGAAACTCCATGGAAAGAGGAGGAAGCGAAAGCGCCCAGCCTGAGCAGAGTAGGAGAGTCGTGCCAAGACTATAAATAAAGCACTTATTGGGAGGTAACCCAACATCTAATTTATTTGTTTTTAATTTTAATTTTTTTTGTGTTACATCTTGTTTGTTTTTATTTGCAGATTAGGGGAAGTCTGAGTACCCGAAGTTGAAGCTAAGGAGCATGTTTGAGCTCTAGTGTGGGGTCGTCTCGAACCTGAATATTGAGGATTATGTTGCTAGCTAGGCCCTAGAGGGTCTCAGGGAGTATTTCTCATCCACGTTTTAATATATTTCTCTGTGATCCATGCATCAGGGACTATGCATAACATAAGTGTGGGGTGGGGGAACCACTTTCTGAAGTGTAATTGTATAAAACTATTTTATTTAATATTTTTTATTTTAGAACTCATAGTAGACATAGTCTAGTTAGTTAGAAGTAGTCTAGCTTTAAAAAATGAAAATAGAGTAAAATTAGGAAAAAAAATCAGAAAAACTCGGACTTTTCCCGATGATGGATCTCTTGGACAACTTTCTTTAGGGATTAAGGTCCGATTAAGAACACCAAAAAGATTTTATTTTGTTTTTTTTGGGATAATTAGGTAGTATCTCTTGGTTTTTCTTTAGGCGTCGGTTCTTTTCCAAGGGTGTAGCCTGAATTGGGTATTATTTTCTTTTTAGGAGTAGGATATGAAGAAATCTGAGTAGCTCTAGTTACCTATTGACATGTTGGTGCTGGTACATTAGGCTATGGCATGGGCTTTATCTTCCTATTGTATTTGATTTGAATTGTGATGCTTAAGTAAAATAAATAGGTAACTCCCTAATGCCTTTTTTCAGTTGTTTGGCCTGTATGTCACCAAGTGCATTAATGCTTAAAATTTCTCAACAATATGTGCTTGTTTGACTTGAAAGTTGAATAGAACCATCTTGATTGAGTCATGTGCAATGCGTGTGTAAGGATTTGTGTTATTCTGTGCTATCCAGTGTAGTATAGAACTTGTCCCGTGTGTTAATAAAAGTGAAATCATTAAGTTGTACTAGTCTAGGAGATGACGTAAGGCGTTTCTTGCTTGATCATAGATGTGTTTGTCACTTACAAATAAAATTTTCTGTTGCTAGTCCCTTTGAGCCTATAGACATTTTCCTTGGCATCCACATTACAAGTCGTTTCCCGATTGTTCGTAACTTGAGCTTGTTGAACCTTTACCTCCGAAGACACTTAGTCGCTAAAAAAAGCAAGTTGAGAGATTTGGGAAGTAGCTTTTGAGTGGAACCATGGAAGGGCCCATAAGGTGCACCAAAGTTGTGAAAAATACCACTAGCCGATGAACCTTAATGTATGGAGTGTATGTAGAAAAAAAAAGAGAAAAGAAAATTGCAAGAAAAAACATAGACAAATAATGTTGATATTCAAAAAAAAGAAGAAACAAACCTCCTAATCTTACTAATTCGTGCTAGTAGGGATGTAGAAGTCCTTAATTGAAGAAAGGCCTATATTGTGTATGGTTTGTGGCGAGTGAATTGATTGAGAAGAATACACACTCGATTCTTGAGTCTAGTGTATTAAAGTGAATATGAGGGTTAGTCACTATTCCTAAATGTATCCTACCAGGACCACAAGATGCACATGAATTCTTTGTGAGAATGGGCGGATTTTGTTCAAATTGTGTGATGTCCTTAATTTATGTTCAAAGTTATTACTTGAACATGTGGACTATTTTCATATTCACTCTATTGTCTATTGGTGAGGGCACTTGATCTCATAATGGATTGGTAATGTTGTGAACTTCTCTTGTTGGGTGAGTGCACGAGTTGAGGGTGCTTAGTGGTAACGAGTCGACCCTTGAGGTAGGGTGGTGGGTAGGTTGTTTGAATTAGTTTAATTGAATGTTTATACTTGGGCATATCTAAAATGGGAAGAATGTGAAATTAATATGTTCATGCTTGATTGTCGGTATCGACCATAGTCAAAGGTAGAGTGTATGGTTGAAAAATTCAATTGCTCTTCCCTGGTTGAGATGTACGTTGTTAGGGTGTAGTTATAGTTCCATTTCTCGAGGGTGAGCACGAGTTCAAGTGTGGGGTGTTGATATTCGACTTAAAGTATGTATATTTATATGCATATAGCATCGCATTTTACTCATGTTTCATAAATTTTGGATGTGTAATATAATAATTAGTGTTAATTCGTGGTATTTTTATGTTCAGGAGTCATCGGGAGGTAATAGGAGACGAAAATGCACGATTTGAAGCAAAAAGGGAACAAAAGTGAAAATTTTGGATAGTGTAGTGGACAAGGTAGCGTGGGGAGCTACATGTAGCCTAGTTTCCAGAAGTGCCAAAATTCCCAGCGCCAGGGCTAGCGCCCCACGCTTCCCTGGGCGCTGGGTGATGGGAACTTATCCTATTTCGCCCAGGACTTAGTTATTTCAACCCAAGACACCCCCATCTCGTATAAAAGCAAGTCTAAACCTATTTTGGAGGGGGAGATGCCACTTTGAGAGAAAAACACAAGTACGAAACACTCGGGAGCACGAAATTCATCGATTCTTCCATCCTTCATCTAGTATTCATAGCTTTTAAGTTTAAAAATAATATTTTGATTATTGTTATGAATATGAGTGGTTAAGAACCTCACTATTCTGGGGTTATGGGTCGTTATTGGCTATTGTAATTTGACAGTTAATTGTGTTGCTTAACTTTATCATATTAATTTATTTATTCAATATTTCACTTAATTATTTTATTGCGTGGCTAACAATAGAGAACTCTCTACTAATTTATAGTTGAACTTAAAAGTGGGAACTATAAATTGCATATAGGATAAAATAAAGTAAGCTCTTGAATCTGATCATCGGAGAATAGATTCGCAATTAGGATAGACATATTCTAGTTGCCTTACTTGGTTATTTTTGCAGGAAATATACATGTGTTCTTGTCAAGTTTGATTCTATAAATATATAGTCTTAGGTTGACTTGAAAAGGCAAGCAGAGCATTAAAATAACTTCGCAGGCATAATAAACCATGTTAATCAATATATTAGATAAGTCAAGTTATTACATCAACCTGAAAAAAGCAATAGGAGAGACGTTAATCCCATAACCCTGGACTATCCCCATCTCATTGAATTCTTTCTAAGTGTTTGTTTGCTCTACTTGCGATCTTAGTTTCTTGATTTCTTATTAGTTCGTAGTAATTTGGTTACAAAAATCACAATCATCTTCTTCACACTCACTTGAGCATTAAAGTTATAAACAACTTAGACTGAACAATAGTTGATCATAAATCCTCGTAGGAACGATACTTTCTTATCACTTTATTACTTGTCGACCGTGTATACTTGTTTGTGCGTTTTGATCTAATAATCGGGACTTAAGTGGGCTTCGCAGAAGCGAGTTGTTTTCCGCAAAAATGGAGCCGTAGGTGTGGCTGGTGAGAGTCGCTGGGCATAATGTTATAATCGAGGGTTTGAGTCTCTTTCTTCATTATTTGGACTTGTGGAGCTCGGCTAGGGTGATGTTTGAGAGGGATTTCAAAATAATTCAGGAGGTAAGCAACTTTTAAACACTTTCGTTCATTAATATTGAATACGTATTGATTTTATACCTACATTTTGTGTCTTTGAGGTGAAATTCTGGGGATTTCAGACTAGGTATTGGAGAGAAAGATGTGGGGGTTTGAGGGTGGATTTGTGGTTTCAATTGAATTATTTTGGTAAGGTTGAACTCGTTATTGAATGTGTGTTTGGATTTTGTGAATTTTTTCGGGTTCCGAGGTGTGGGCCTGGGGTTGACCTTTTGGTTTGACTTTTTGAATTTGGTGTAAGACTTTAGCTTTATGGTATGAAATCGATTCCTATAGCTTGTAGTGATTATAATACGTTATTTATGACTAGATTCGAGTTGCTAGGAGGTCGATTCGCGAGGCAAGGGTTTGTTGGAGCATTGAGTTGAACACTTTGAGGTAAGTAATACTTCTAAACTTGGATTTGGGGGTACTCAACCCTATGAATTACGCTATATGAAAATTACCGGAGTGAAGTACGCGTTTGGTGATGGGCGTGTGTGCGTGCACCAGTTTGTTCATGGTTGGGGAGGCCTTTAGGCTAATATCGAGCTTGTTTTGCTATTATATCATGTTGCCCCAACGTTTCCTCTACTTATTAGATTATTTAAACTATGAATCATGTTAGACATCATATCTAGGCTAGGTTCTAACTATTTGAGACTTAGATAAGGCTATTCTTGTTGTTTCTGAGTTATATACCTTATTTTTACACATGTTCTCTATCATGATACTATATCCGTGTATGATATCTCTGTTTCAGTACTTCTTATCTGATTCCTCACATGTTGCTAATATTGCTTAAGGATAAAACTGTTTAATTGAATATTTGAGAAGTGTTCATCTGAGACTTGAACAGTAAATGGCTGAGTTTGGGCCTTAGAGCTGGTTAGGTACTAATTTTGAGGTGACGCGTACACCAGGCCCATATTGGGTTGAGTGTTATTTTTTTAGGCGACCCATGCACCAGGCCTCATTATTGGGTCAAGTGATTATAATTAGCGCTTTGGCAGAATCCACCCCTCT